GCGCCACACACTTTGAGAACCGCGGCCTTACATTAAGTACCACAGAGCACACCAGAAAGCCTGCCTGTGGTAAGATGGCCGCCCGGTGATGCCGTTTGAGACTCCGCCGTAAGACATCTAGCCTTTATTATGGATATCTATGCGTACGACGGAGTCGTAGCTACGGAAGAGGATTACGGCCACTGGAAAAAAAAAAAAAAGTTAACTGATTTTTAAATTTTATTTCAGTTTAGTATGGGAAAAAAGTAATTTTTTCCTGACTTTAATCTCAGAATTCTGCCTTTTTTTCTCAGAATTCTGACTTTAATCTTTTCTGACTAAAAGTCAGAATTCTTAGAATAAAGTCAGAATTATGAGATTAAAGTCAGAATTATGAGAAAAAAGTCAGAATTTTGACTTTTTTCCCATACTAAACTGAAATAAAATTTAAAAATCATTAACTTTTTTTTTTTCAGTGGCCCTACTCCTCTTCCGTAGTCGTCACAAGGGTGGCGCATGCGCACAATGTTACCTTCCGTAGCATTATAGCCGGGGAGAACATTGCGGGAAAACAGACGGCCGGGGGAGGGAGTCCATTGACGATTTTCTAGAATTTTCATTCTCACGCGCCTGTCGCTCCCACGGTAGTATTAGCCATTATTCGTGTTGTCGTAGGTTAGTTTATCTAAAACCTAGCTAGCGTTGCGCTGTAAGGTGCTATATTTCCTTTCCCCCCCGTGGTTTCATCAGCGGTCTTCTGTGAAAGCGCCAGGGACGGGACACGCTGATGGCGGTCACAATCGAGGAGCTTTATCGGAACTACGGGATCCTTGCTGATGCTAAAGAAAACCTGAGCCAGGTGAGGAAGCTCAGTCCGCTCTCAGTGTTCTCAGCTCGGTTATTTTGTCCACAGCGGGCGGCTTAGCTTGGATTTAGCTGATCTATTGACATGTGTTAGCTGCAGCTAGCCATCATAGTGACCATGCTAACCAGCAGATAGCATCACAGGCTGCAATATTACCTATTATATGTTTAATACCTGAAAAAGTCTCCAGCATCTTCATGCTGTTGCACTTTATAAAGCGTCGCAGCAATAGCTCCTGTTTCCTTTAACGAAGCAGGAAAAACACATTAATCTGAAGAAATAAAACAAGTCTGCTGGTGAAGCTTTCAGCCATACAGGTCATGGTCATTACAAAAATAAATTAAATAAAGATAAAAACGTTTCAAACTTGCAAATCAAGTAGAGTGGATTGTTTTAAATTTTTTTTTAATAAAACAAGTATTTTTACTTCTAAACTAAACTTGTAATATTTGAGTTTGTTGTAAAAATAGCTATTTCGGTTAAAAAAATTGAGTAAAATTTGTATAAAATATGGAGAAATGTGTTTTTTATGTGATGGTAAATGGGTTTTGTTGAATAAGTTAGTTTAAAGTTGTTAGTGTGTCAGTGGATTCACATGGTAATAGTTTAATTCTCAGTGTTTAAAAGAATAAACATTCAGGTTCTCTTTTAAATGTCACCAGCATCATTTCATTTTAATTCAAGTACAGAGTATTTTCAAGATGACGTACTGTTTATTAGCTAATGTATTTATTTTTATAAACAAATTAGCTAATCAATGTAAACTCTGGCTCTGTCAAAGGACCTAAAAAATAAGCACCTGAATAATAGTTTATCATGGATCCTTTATCCTAATAAAATGGCAACATGAAATGTTAAAGCTGATCTGAGGGTCACCTGCAACAAGCACTTTCATCATCACTCAAGTTCTTGGAACACAAACTGCAGACTTAATGATTAGAAATTACGTTTCAGGCCAAATGATCATTGTTACTGTTTTATCGGCGTCATTAACTTGTGTATTTTGTTGTGCAGCACAAAGATGCATACCAAGCAATCCTGGATGGTGTGAAGGGTGGTCCCAAAGAAAAGAGACTGGCGGCACAATTTATTCCTAAATTCTTCAGCAGCTTCCCAGAGTTGGCTGATGCAGCCATAAATGCCCAGCTTGATCTCTGTGAAGATGAAGATGTGTCTGTAAGTAGAAAAGAAATGATCTTCGTTTCATTTTAGTGTGTTGATTATCTGAATTATCTGTAGCTCAATCTCAGTTTTCTCCCTGCGGTTTGCAAAAACTTAATTATCTGACATCACATTAGAAGAGCTGTGAAATAAAAGGAAAGTTTAGTTTCTGAAGCCATGATGTTTTAAAGCTTTTATGAGGCTTGAGAAAAGGCTAATTTCTTTAAACCCATTCTTATAAGTTTCTAATGGTAGTAATTGGCAGCTTAATTACTGCCATTTGTTTAACTTATCGGGCTGGGTTTTTTAGGGAATACTTTCTGGAACATCGTTAGCGTTTCGTTGGGTTTTATTCCATGTAAAATATGAGAGCTGGAACTAATTATTTCACAAATCTGTCAATTTTTTTTTCTATTAAACAATTAATAACTAGATAGCCAAAGGTTCCTTTAAGACATTTTATAAAAATTAACCCAGGTGAAACTAAAACTTTTCCACTTGAGGAGCTCTGCATAGAACATATTACCATGAATTTTTTAAAGTACAAAATACTTTTTGCAATCTTGGTATAATTCCTGCTCTAAGTGCGTCGCTCTGTCAGCTAAAGGCGTGTTTTAGAGTCTCTATACTCCAGTTACCGATAAATCGATTACTAAATTAGTTAACGATTATGTTAATAATGGAATACTTGTGGTTAATCTGATTGTTTTGGCCCTATTAAGCATTACCAATGTCTTTGTCCAGATTCGACGACAGGCCATTAAGGAGTTACCCAGGTTCGCAACTGGTGAAAACATTTTTCGAGTCGCTGATATTCTGACCCAGCTCCTACAAACAGGTATCATGCTAATGTGGATCCCAATGATATTTTAAGCTCATCACAAAGTCGCTCCTGTATAACTGGTTGTAAGAATCGTCATATCTGTTGGGGTTTTTAGACGATACTGCAGAGTTCAACCAAGTGAACACAGCACTGATTTCAATTTTCAAGATGGACGCTAAGGGTAAGCGTTCCTGGAGGCACTGAGTGGATAACTGGGTATGATGTACATCATAGAATGAGACAGAAAAGCATTTAGTTTTTTTCTATGGTCATCCAGGTACACTGGGAGGTCTCTTCTCGCAGATCCTGCAGGGTGAGGACATAGTGCGAGAGAGGGCCATCAAGTTTCTGTCCACCAAACTGAAGACTTTACCAGAGGACGTCATGACAAAGGAGGTGGAGGATTACGTCTTTGCTGAGACAAAGAAGGTTTGTGTTTTAGTTTGCAGCTGCTCTGCCTTTTTGTTCATGCTAAGATGATTAGCATGCTATGATGGGTTGGAGTCTCTGAAGATTATACTGCAAAAAACGTGAATCTAATTAAGTCATTTTTTCTTTAAAAAAAGTGCATTTTTTCTGAACTAAGCAGGTAATTTAGACTCTTTGCAAATAGAATAAGACAAGTTACATTTGAAATGAGAAAAAAAACAACTGCACTGTCTTATTTCAAGGCCTTTATATCTAATTATCTTATTCTAAGTTAAGAAAAACTAATTCATTTGGCAGGTCATGTTATTACCTTCAGAAATTTAGGGTGAATACAATTCACAATAGGGTGAATTTAAGAGATTTCTACTTATTTTCAGATAGTTTTTGCAGTTTACTATCATAGTTGATGTAGATCCAAGCTGTTTGAGTATTAGCTTAGCGCTCTGTCACACCATGCCAATTTAGCCGGTGTATGCCTGATGTCCCAGAATCTCCAAAAACGCTGGCATACGCTCAACTTTGTATGTATTTTTTTCAATTATGGGCATTTACATAGATTCATAATGAGTCCAGAACTTCTGTCCAATGACAGCCTAACTTGTGCTTAACGCACAGCAGCGTAATGCCCATGAAATGATACTTTTGCACCATTTCATGGGTATTACGAAGCATCAGTTAAAGCTGCTCCCCTCAGGAGCAGCGATGCGCACGGTCTGCATAAAAACATTTATTTGGTCGCGTTATTAACCTAGCTGCTGTTCACTGCCTGCCCAAAAAAAGGAATAAAGAAAAAAAAGAAGGGTGTTTTTTTTTGTTTTTTTTGTGGCAGCAGATTGAGCATCATGTCTGCTAGGAAGTGTGTTGGTGGTGGGTGTGAACGCAGGGAGGATCCATCACACCCTTCCTTCTGGCTCACCCTTTGATGGGGATGAAGTCTGGAGGAGAACTGACGGTTTCCTCCTGTGAACCCCCTTTTGAGTTGTTTTACAGCACTAGTGGCTGTTTTTTTTTTTGTTTTGACAGGAGGCTGACAGGAAAGGGGGTATGACAGAGGGGGAGAGACATGTGGCAAAGGACCACGGGTTGAGGACTAAGGGGTCCGTTCATGGGCTGTGGGCACTAACCTCTGCGCCACCTGCACACCCTGTGAACCCCCTTTATACCAAAACGCTGCCAATACGCCATTATACAGTAGCTGGAAGTTAGGAACACACTCAGCACTCGTCTGGAACACGTCAGATACGTTGATATGCGTTGGAGAGAAGTTCTTGATAAGTTACGCAGAAGTGATGCATAAGTTACTCAGAGGTTTAGGATAAGCCTGACGCCACGACCGATGAGGAACTGACACTGAACGTATGTCAACCATCAGATAGCTGACTTGGAACTGATGGCCCACCTATTAGCAAACGCTGGCATATGTCTGGAGCATGCTCGTAATTTCTCGATGTCCTCGCTGTCGACATGTGCCACTGTGTTTCAGCGTGTTACTTTAGTGTGCTCATAACTTTTACAAAATGTACCTATAACTTATTCAAGCTATGGCAACTTTTTTGACAGATTTTTTGAACCTCAGGCATAGGCTGGTCTAAATCGTCAAGATGCGACATGTGCTTTAGAAGTTTCTATTTAAAAATATGTTGACGCATTCGACCATGGGACATGATTTTTTGTTTGAACTGGTTTCCAAAACATCTTATAGTGTAGTTATTTTAGCAGAACAAACTTTTTTCAGGTTTAACGAAAATAAAAAGGTTAACTTTCCTGCTGCCCCCTGTAGGTTATGGAGGACGTCACAGGAGAGGAGTTTGTGCTTCTGATGCGCGTGGTGTCTGGTCTGCGGGTGCTGCAGTCGGTAAATGGACGACAGCAGCTGGTGGAGCTGGTGGTGGAGCAGGCTGACCTGGAGCAAGCCCTGAACCCAGCAGACCCAGACGCCGTGGACCGACTCCTGCAGTGCACTCGACAAGCTCTGCCGTTGTTCTCTGTAAGTTCACCTTGATGTTCCTAAATTTGAGTCATGATAAAGTTTTAAGGTTGGAAGCATGACTTTAAACCTCTCAACATTATAATATGTGCAAGTTAATTGTAATCTAAAGGTAAATTTTTCTGCTTTGCAGAAAAATGTCCATTCCACCCGGTTCGTGACGTACTTCTGCGAACACGTCCTGCCTAACCTCAGCACCCTGACGTGTCCTGTAGCAGAGCTGGACATACAGCTGGAGGTAGAACATTTAGAATAACATTTATTGGGACATTAATCAGTGCGATCTTTTCTAAAGTATGCCTACATATCTGTAACTGAGGGCGTGTGAGAACCTTCTAAAATACCTTTCCTGCTGTAATTTCGAAAGATGTGCGCTGTAGCACCTTTGAGTCAATGAGTCGATGCAATCAACTGGTTTCCTTAGATGGAAAATTTTGAATCAATTTGACCCGATGATCTGGTTGAATTGTCTTGAGATGACGTGTTGTGAATTGGAGCTATATAAATAAACTGAATTCAATTCAACTGAATATAACAATGAACATAATATACCACAAAGCCCTACAGACAGACCGGGGCAAAATGTTTGGAAACTGTGCAAAAAAAGCTCTAAAATAAAAGTCTTTTTAATCTAACCTTCGATTCGAGAGCAGAGCTTCAGAAACATTTATTTTAAAAGAGCTGGGGTTAAATAAATAGATAACATGGTATTTTCCCATATTTTTCTCACCTCTTTTTGAAACAAAGGAATAAAAAGTTGGATAAACTTCCCAGATCTCTCTGAGAATCACCTCTCTGCCTCGGTCAGTTTAGAAACAATTCAACGCCGTTTATTGCTGCATTTTTCTTTTCTTTAGACTTAGATCTCATTATGTTTTCAGTCGTTTAAGTGGGATTTTGCTGCATAGAATGCACCACTAGTTTTTTTTTTATTTTTTTATTATTATTTCTCATAATCTGTCCAAGTCAAATGTGGGAAATTGTTTTAATTTGTGTATAGCTCAGAGATGGAAGTGAAAACAATCTGCACAGATCTGCCCCCCTCAAACATTTTACTGAGAGCTGTTGTGTGTTTCTTAGGTGCTGAAGCTGCTGGCTGAGATGAGTCCATTTTGTGGGGATATGGAGAAGCTGGAGGCCAATCTGAGCACGTTGTTCACCAAGCTTGTGGTAAGAGTTGTCCTCTTCCATTGAACCATGGGATGCACGGATAAAAGGCTCCTTATTGGACATCATGGCTCTTTTACCCCCACCTATGTAAGAGGAAATCATTTCCTGATCAGAGGGGGGGAAAGCAGGAGAGCCACTTACTAAATAACACATTCAATCAGTATTCTAAATGTTTATCAGTTGCTACGTTTCCATTAACCATCAAATATTCCGGGGGAACATTAGTGGAAAATTTTTTATTTTTTTACACCGACTGTGTTTTTGTTGCCGTTTGTTAGGAATTCATGCCGCTGCCACCTGAAGAGGTTGAGAATGGTGAAAACTCTGCCAGCGAGGAGCCCAAACTGCAGTTCAGCTACGTGGAGTGTCTCCTCTTCAGCTTCCACCAGCTGGGCAAGAAGCTGCCCGACTTTCTGGTGGACAAGGTGGATGCAGAGCGCCTCAAAGACTTCAAGATCCGGTGAGGTTTGGACACCATTCCTGAAAACCCCTGGAGTTCAAAGGCTGTCTGTCAAAATGGGATGGCTGTGCGTTACTGAGGCTGGAGTGGTTGTTTTATTTAGACGTCCTGTTTGTTTTCCAACAGGTTACAGTACTTTGCCAGAGGTCTGCAGGTTTATATCAGACAGCTGCGAGTGGCCCTGCAGGGGAAGACGGGGGACGCTCTGAAGACGGAGGAGGTAATCGTCTATACAGCCTGATGGCTGCTGATCCAAAATGAAGAAATCAGTACAAACACTTTCATGATTGATATGTTATTTTGATTGTTTTAGAACAAAATCAAAGTGGTGGCCCTGAAGATCACAAACAACATCAATGTTCTCATTAAGGTAAGCGATTCAGAAACATCTTTGACAGATTTTACCGGCATAATGGTGATAGTAATAAAGATGCCTTCTTTCATTTATATACGGCTGCAACTAACAATTGTTTTGGAAATTGATTATTCTGTTTTTTTTTTAATTGATAATTTGATAGCAAAATGTTTCTTAAGGAAGTTTTTTTTTTACAAAATTAAAATCAACTGAAAACTAAAAATGTTTTTTTTTTTTTTAAACAATTTTGGTATAATTCCTGCTCTAACTGAGTCGCTCTATCAGCTAAAGGCAGGTTTTTAATCAATTACTGAGTTAGTTGACAAATTTTTAAGTGATTGATTAATCCGACTAATTTTTTCAGCCCTACGTTGAGACATTTTGACCACTTGATGAATTATTCAGTTTGATTTGAATATGCTACTGCAAATACTTCTAAAATAACAAATGCTATTCATTATGTAAATGAATTTACAGTCCTGTTTAGGCAGAGCTATGCTAAACTTTCCGATTCAATGTTTCTTGCTGTGTTTGTTGATTTGGCTGCAGAGGAAAACCCAACAGATTTACAAACACTTTGACCCAATAGGCTGGGATGGGAGACGGGAAGCAAAATAAAGATAAATACTTGGGCTCAGAATGTAGAATTTGAGTAAAGTGGGTAGAATGTGCAGCAAGTTTCTGATAATTATTGGGATCAGTTTCCTCTAATAATTCCAGGGATAACCCCGGGTCATTTAAGCCTGCACTGAGGATGAGTTTAAATAAAATAAAAAGTTTTAGGCTGATTTTTAAATAGGACGTTTGGTTTTTCAATGCAAACTTGGATCTAGTTCCTTTGGTGCATGCTCTGCTTATGAATCGTTGGATTAAAAACTTCTTTATTTTCATTTCAGGATCTCTTCCACAACCCTCCTTCATACAAGAGCACAGTAACCTTGTCCTGGAAACCCGTCCAGAAGCCAGAGGCAGCAGCGTAAGCCTCCACATTAACAGAGGACATTGTTCAACAGTCAGGAGACGTTAATGTAACACTCATTCTCCTTTCATCTCATTTTCTTCTTGTTTTTAGGCCCAAACGTCCATCAGGGGAAGAAATGGGATCTGGGGCCAACACAAAAAAACAGATCATGCCTCTCCCAAGACGGGACGCAAGGCAAATTTACAACCCTCCCAGCGGCAAGTACAGCGCCTCTATTGGCAATTTTAACTACGGTGAGGCGACCCTGGTGGCACTTTTCCTGTTTTAAAACCAAATGTGGTTTTAGTGCATGTCTTTTATTGTGTTTTGCACGTTTTTTTTTTTTTATTTGGTTAAAAAAAAACACTAATTGAAGGATTATGACTTGTCACACTTTCTGCTTTAATACCGTTATGAGGGTATCCTTATTAAACTGTATGAACAGTTAGTTCATGGTTTGGTTTGAACGTTTAGAATTGATGTGCTTGGTCCAATGGAAGTTTTACCACATCGTTTTACTGCAACCTGACTAGAGAAATACAGGTGAACCGTAGAGTGAAAGGTCAGATTTATCCCGGGGTTTCTTTAAGTTTCAGAGTCACATATTTGTTTTACTTTCAGCTTAAAGAACAAGAGAAACTAAAGTTTCTCCTAAAATGAAATTCTAACCTGGAAAGTCCAATTCCCCACCAGCTGTGACTTCCAAATCCACTTTAAAGACATGAAAATTCCCTTTAAACAGAATGATTTCAGTGAATAAAACAAAGGAGTAAGAAACATTAAGTTTAGTTTAACATGCTGAGGATATATGATGAATTTTGTGTTCAAATGGTTCAAAAAATGTTTTGATGCTGTAACCATTAACTCATTTTATTAAGATTAAGTCTCACGTTTTTTTATTCCACTTCCTAATGGTCTTGTATCTGTTTTAAGCTTTTTGTACCAATTAAGATCTGAAGTGAGGTGTGCATTTATATAATAAACTTTACAAATGGAGCAATGGGAAGAGGAGCACCGCCGTCTGGAGGAGAAATGTCACAGAAGACTTATCAGTGTGTCACAAACCATGTAAAGAACACGTTTCACTTTCTGAACGTGATTCTCAGACCAAATAAGGGTTTACTAAATAAATCTGGCCTTTATAAAAGATATACAAGAAGAAACCAGAAGCTTGATCCGTTGGTAGTTTACTGCGATCAATCATGTTGTACCGCATTGGCAAAAGCATGCATTGGACGGCAAAGACTGGGAATCTGCACAGTTGAATAGTGAAGATGAATACAGCTAAAGTCTTACAATGATCTGGGTTTGTAAGTTCAGATGCTCCTCGCTATTAAAACTGTTTTTTTAAATGGCCAAAATTAGTAAACATCTAAATGTAAAAATCTGGTTAAGATATAACAGAAGAGTGTGATTGTTAGTGAAGCAGAATTGGATCATTGCATCAGGAGAGCTGAATTCAAAAGCATGCCACACTTTCCAGTTCACTCTTCTTATTAGTCTGTGTTCTGCTGCAGTGTTCTTTTTTTCTTCTTCCAGTTAATTTAAAAATGATATGAGAAAAAAATCAGTTCTACTCCAAAGTGAGATTAATAGACAGTATTTCACGGCCGACTCGTACAGAAACAAGCTATTGTAGCAGCCATTCAAAATGTCTTTTCCCAGTCAAACGCCAGCCGAATAGCAGCCCACTTCCCTCCAACTCCCTGCAAAATCCCCTCCAACTTCCAGCCACTGGAGTGCATATTTTGTTACTCTGACTCCACCCTTTCACTGAATTACAGGGTCTGACCAGGAGATGGCGCATCTCTTTAGATGTTAAAGTTCACAAATCATGACAGAATATTATAGTAAAAAGATTGATGTTTGAAAAGGAATTGTAGGGGACCAACCAAGGACCAGTCAAAGACCAGCCGGGGGCAGTGGGGAAATTTTGAATGGCTTCTACTGTACCAGCAAATGTTCATATTGACTGTTTCTCTATGGCAGGGGTGGGCAATTCCAGCTCCTGAGGGCCGGTATCCTGAAGGTTTCACATCCTTCCTTTATCAAACACACCTGAAGCAAATGGCTGAGTTACCTCCTCAGTCTGCAGTCAGTTTCTCACAAGTCCTGTCAATCAACTAATTACTTGATTCAGGTGTGTTGAACCAAAGGCACATCTAAAAGTTGAAGGATACCGGCCCCCAGGAACTGCAATTGCCCACCCTTGCTCTATGGTGTTTTCAGAGGATGTAAATATGTCAAACAGTGCAGAACATTTATTGGACTTTTTTCTAGACTCATGTTCAGCCTCCTCTGTTGCACGTTTGCTGAGTTTTCTTATGCCATGTCGATGCAGAGCAGCGCGGTGGCTTCAGAGGCGGCAGAGGACGAGGCTGGGGGATGAGAGGCAACAGGAGCCGAGGCCGAATCTACTGAGAGACAGAAATCTACATTTCTTTGTCAGAACTGCATCACATCAGGATCTCCTCATCAGAATGGACTATTTGTCATTTACCTATATATATTTTTCCTTTAATTTTTTACAATTAAGTTTTTTTGTTTTTACTCTTATTGCCTTTCATCTGTGGGTCTTAGTTGCTTTCTTCTTCTGGCTCCAACTCCTCTTGTCATGAACACATGAGTAGCTGTATTTCTCTCAGCCAAGGTAATCCGTAATCTAGATGTGTGGATTTTCCCTTCCCTCTTTTTATTTTTATTTTTTCCAGAAAATTTTAAACCTTGTGTGTTTTTTGTGGAACAAAAGACTGCCAAGTTGTAACTAAATATTTTGGTCACATAGTTGTGGAAGTTCCTCTTGTTTAGCAGCATGTTTGTGGAAAAATCCATTTCAATTTTCTCTTATTTAACCATTTTTTTTTTTTTTTTTTTTTTTTTTTTTTAGCAGAGCTTAATTAGAATTGGCTGACTGCTTCTTTGTATAAATCAATGATGCCCTTTCATTAAATTTTTATCACAAAACTAGATGGAAGTACAATATTTGTCCCTTACTCGTATTTGGGGAAAGAAAAAGCTATTTTCAGGACCAAGGCTATTGAAATCATATCACTCTAAAGTATACTACTTGATTTACCCTATATTTCGATTTTCTCTTAAAGTTTGTTCCCCAAAATTATTTTTGGCTCACAATATAGCATCTAGTTGCAAAATGCTCAAAAACATGCCATCTTTTCTGACTATAGCATCTGTGTTCGAAGCATTAATAACCTTAAAAGAGGTCCCAACGTGTTCATAAATATTATTTTACAATCTTCTTTTGGAGCCCCCTGCTGTCTGAAATTAATGAGATTCTTTTTTGTTCTTAATATTAGAAGTCAATATTAATATTAAAAACCACAACAAATATTTGGATCTGAACTTTTTTTCAGTTAAATTTGATATACTTTTTTTATTTTAATCATAAAATTACCAAACTGACCTAAGTTTCCAAAGTCTTAACTCTACCAGCCAAGTTTCTGAAATCTACTTAAATTCTTCGTATATGTCCTACAGGTTGTTAACAATAGAATATGATTTGTTTTATTGTAAATGTATTAATCTGACTTTCCCTCTGAGAAATGAGCTTTGAGGCACAAATGCTTTTGCTGACATCTGGTTTGTAAACATTTTTTTTCCTTTATTTGGTTGTGTTGATTAAATTTCCTCCATCTAAATGGGTTGTTTACTTGTGGAAAAAATCCAGCGCAGCATAGAAAGCTTGATTTTATTTATTTTTTAAAGATCAACCATTTAAATTAACTTGATTCATTAATATGGTCTGGTTGATGCCACTCCAGTAACTAACCATGTCATTATTTGAGCAGAATACAGAATGTAGTCATTTTGTACGTTGGAAGGATCACAGAAACCATTTGGATTCAAAAATGAAGTAAAAATGGAAGATGATTGGTCTCAGAGCGCTTCAGCCAATCCACCCATTCCAGAATCCAGTATTTTCTGGAGGTCATCAGGAAATATATCCTATCCAGTTGTACTTTTTTGCCGTACATTTCTTTGTGGAAAAAAATAAATGAAATGCTGGGTTTCTTTTAAGTGTAATTGTAAAAACGAAGGTAGAAAACAGCTGGAAGCCTAACAGACTGAAACCTGGCAGGTGGCAGAGAAAGCTGTCAGTGTGCAACAGGTCTTCATGCAGAGACACGTGTGTTGGGTTGGGTGGGAGGAGGGGGGCTCCAGCTCCTTTTTTTTTTTTTTTTTTTATTAAATCTGCTCTGGCAGCCTTCTGCAGAGAGGCAAGTCTTTTAACTCCGAGCTTCATGTGGGGAAAGCAGTCTGCTGTTGCTATTAATAGGATTTGTTATTGAAGCTGATGCACAGTGAGGCCTTAAATCTTTTAGGCATTTACGTATTAAAACGTATCGGTGCATAAAAGTTACAATACATCCTAAAAAAAAAGAGGTCTCTTATTTGCTGTTGGCACATTTAACATTTAGTGTAAGAACAGAGTTTCCCCTCCAGAGGGCGCTCCAGACTAGGGCTTTCCTCTCAAATCATCCTGATCTATTTTTAAACCTGAATTTAAAGTGACTATGATGTATTTTCGTGTCTTTCTATTACGGTTTGGGTGCGAAGAGAAATCTGGTGTGTTTAAACTTTTCATTCTGAATAATAATAAAAATAGTCAAAGGTTTTGTCCTTTACTCTTCTTTTTATAAACGTAACCAATTTCGCTGCATGCCAATTATGGAATGCATTAGTGTCTATAAAACCATTATACATAAATATATAGAGGCCTGATTTGTTTTTATGACTGTATGCGCATTCCTTTCTTGGTATTCATCTAAAGTAGTTAAAATGTTCCCCTCGTTATTGGCTGATATACGGTATATTTTTTGTATTTATTTTTTTTACATTCTGACGCTGAACAGCTGTTTCAGTTTTGGTCGGTAGGGGGAGCCACGCTGTTGAGACAAAACCCCTTCCTAGTAGATCGTGACCAGGTATTTCCCAAACCAGCCTGCCAGTCAGTCAGCCAGCAAACTCTCTGGCACGTGCATTGGTGAGCACGCACATAAACACAAGCACTGAGCTGAAAATAATCAAGCGGTGGAGGAGGAGGAGTGGGCGGCAGCTGCAGGAGCAGAGGAGAGAGAAGACGACCCTCAGTGAGAGAGAGATGGAAGGAGCCCCTGATCCAGCCCATGTGAGAGAGGAAGTGAAGGTAAATCAATATCCTGAAGCACTTGGTGGAACTCGACGGGTTTCCTTACTTTATTAACGACCTTCCAAGGGATGTAAATGGAGATAAAACTATGACTTAATACTGTAACCAAACAGACACGCAGCAGGAGCAAGAGAATGATATATTGCACATCTACTTTAGAGGAGAGCTCCACTGGTTGTCTCCAATGATGCTGGATGGACCATATACATAAAGGGGGCCCCTGGTGTGGAGTAATAAGCCTGTTACTGATTTTCATAGTCACCACATGGATTTCCAATTGAACATCTGTATACTTCCAGAGAAAATAAATGATTAAATATATATATATTACACCTCGTCCATTCTAATCATTGGTATGAGAGGCATTCCCTGCACCCCCACCCCTAGTCGTGCCAACAAAAAAAGAAGGAGCCCTCTAAATGGTCGAGGATTATATGAGAACTACAGTTGATGCTGCTTTGGTTCATTGCTGCATTTGTTATTGGCAGGCTGGTGCGCATTGGTCACCATGGAGCTGTCCGAGGTGCTGAAACCTCTCCTGTCTGAAATCGTACAGGTGCGACTAAAAAACAACAACTTTAAATGCATCTTTTGAGAGAAAAAAGGAAGCGATTGTTTTATAAAACCACATCCTTTTAAATAAAATTAAAGGAATCATATTCAAAAGTGAACAGGCCTGAATTCAATAGGATCTGATTATGATTTCAAGCCGGTTTATATCTTCTACTTTTTCAGACAACACAGTCGTGTGGATAATCTGGTCGCATGTCCCTCCATCTACAGCTCGTCTCAACCCTCCTGCTTTTGCGTCCTCACGATTTCGTGACAGCTTTTAACTGCGGCATCCCTGAACTACCTTGGTGCCAGTGGCGGATCACAGGTCGGAATGTACGTGCAAAAATAGATTAGTTGTAAGAAAAAGGGAACTTTTTCTTCCCTTTTCGAAAAACAAACAAACAAAAAAAGAAAAAGAAAGAAAGAAAGAAAGAAAAAAAACCCAGCCCCTGTCGTTCGCCCCCTCATGTACAATGCTGGGAATAGTAACAGCACTGTGAGGCTGGGCTAAATATAGCAGCCAGTGAGTGTTAACATGTCAACTTCAGCAGGAGTGCAGGGAAGCGGCTGCTGCACGTGTGACCGCCGTGGATGTACAGAGTGAGGCTATAAATACCAAACAGCTTCCCTCCATGCTGCCGAACCGTCAACCCAATGCACCCGAACCAGGGTTGCTTTATAAATAAACCTAAAGATACAGTTTCATTCCATATTTCGCACAAGGGTAAAAAACAATAAAAAAAATGAAATCGATAGATATAAAGCAAAACTACATGAAGACACACTGGAATTGCAGTTTCTCCACCACTATTGGAGATGAGCTGATATCAACAGACTGTTATGGGCTCATAAAATCACGACTGACATGAATATCATACACCATCATCGTTTTTGTCTCTTTAGGCATTTATAAGATTAGGTTGATGGAAGGCGGGTTGGAGTCTAACAGTGGCTGGGGGTGGATGATAGGTTTCAGGGATGGGAGGGGTGATGGAGCAGTTTTATTTTTATCACCGCTGCCTTTTCCAAAATAGAAAGTAGTCTAAAAAAAAAAGACACTCACGAGTCTCTTTTAAGCCAAAGACGCTTGTGCAGCAAAACCGTGGGTTTTATTTGCAAAGGAGGGAGCCTTTAAACATGCACATGAAGGCACACGTTCAACCACCCAGACCCCCCTCCTCCCCACCACCACCACTTTACGTAATCTTGCATGTGGATGTCAACAGTACGAGTCTTGGAAAGAGTCTATTCACACGGACCCTGCACCCAAAGAACACTGTGTACCGTGTTGTCCCGCGAGATTTGCCACGTTTAACTATATGCAACCCCCCCCCCACACACACACATGCGCACGAACGCGCGTGTTCACGCACGCGCAAGCACCTAAATTGCTGATTTCCAAATGCAAAAGCAAAGCAGCCTGTGGCCACAGAGAGCGTGCGGCCATTCAGCTGAACTGGTGGCTTTCCTGCTTTCAACCAGCGTTTCCCACTCTTTCATTCACAGGTCGAGCCGCACAAACTGTGTGAATGAGTGAGTTGGGAAGAAAGGAATGAATGAATGACTGCTTGAAGTGAGTGAATGAAAATCAGCGGCTGCAGCAGAAGAAGCGGAACGCAGGGGGCGCACGTTTTTTCCCCCCTGTCTCTTTCAATGGCTTTTTCTCTCCTATTCATTCCCCTCCTCCTTCTCAGGGAAGCACGGCTGCACGAGCAATGACCAGAACAAACACATAACAC